GGTCGAGAGAATCTGAACAATTCATAAGGGAAACTTCAGTTGTTGGAGCTGGAGGCTCGAACCTCCGACTTCGTAAGTTGCCTTCGGGTGGCGACCAACCAAATACATTATCAGCTGGGTCCATCAGTAGAATTATGTACATTTGGAAATAATTATTACTTCTTCTAATTATATTCCTCGGGAAGTGGTCAACAAATTAGGATAATATCTAGGAAATTGAAGGTAGAAGATGATGATATGTTACAAAAAACGCGATTCTAAAAGCTTAGAAGATCCCAGTGAATACTAAAAGGACTGCCCTTCTAGCATCCAGCCTGTTACTGGTTTTCGTAACAAGTAGCAGTATCCGTCCAAGTTTATCCATTAGAATTCTGTATTATTCCAATAGTGCTTCAGATTACAACAGGGGGGGGGGGGGGTGGGGGGGGTGGGGGGGGGGGGGGGGGGGGGGGGGGGGGGGGGGGGGGGGGGGGGGGGGGGGGGGGGGGGGGGGGGGGGGGGGGGGGGGGGGGGGGGGGGGGGGGGGGGGGGGGGGGGGGGGGGGGGGGGGGGGGGGGGTTAGCTACTAAACCCAAAAAATTAAAATTTAATAATTTATAAGTCTATAGTTTGTCTAAGAGGTATAGTAAATCAAAGTAAATTAAATTACAGCAATCAAATTAAAATCATCTCTCGAGTTCAATATTATTGTGCTGAAAGCACATATCACTTTTATAATTCTTAATACCGTCAGGTACATTATATTTAATAAGATATACAAATATTTACAAGTAAGTGTGAGTATGCTTGTAGTGCTCTTAAAGTATTAGCTATGTCTCAAGACTTCCGAATAAGACTTAAAACAATGACCTGACATAAGTCCTCAAATAAACAAACTTCTTGACGGAACTGGCAACCCGACACAGTACTGCTTGAACAACAAAGAATGCTAAGACCAATAGCATTGCAATATCAATCGACTGCGACACAGAAACAGAACTAGAGATAATATAACGACACTAAGTAGGGACCATCTGCAGATCCCCTCCACAAATTACAAAAACTCCCATAGAAAAACGCGACTGTGACAATACGCAGAAACCCAGACAAAATAGGTCCATAAGCTAATAGCTCGAGGACCTGAATGTTCAAGTGTCTATGTGAACACACAACCTCAGTACAACGTCGAAAATCACTAAGTCCTTTACAATGTTCTGTGAACAAAGTTCTACAGAACTAACAAGAATAATGAGAAGACAATCTGTCCAACCAGCAAGCGAGTCTCCAGCAGACAGACTACTTCACAAGAGTGAGACACCCCCCCTCTATCACTTGATAGCTACGTGGACAACTGCAGCTCAGAAGCCGTCAGTATAACGAGCGACAAGTGATAATTACAGTAGTTTGACAATCAAGACTGAGCACATTTTATATACATCCTAACAACATAAGCTAAATAACAATATAACAGTCAAATAATAATATAAAGTCAACCTTTACGATTTAGCTATTATCGAAAATATAAGCATAAAATTAAATGAAAAGGTAATATACATTATATATACATAATCATTGTAACCCATTCAGGGGTTGCAACATGATATTATTCGGCTTATCAATTTGGACGTTTAGCAACCCAAGGAAACCCAGAAAGTCCAGCATTGCGGCTTATTTCCATTAGGGTCCTTTGGCCCTCTTCTCCAGGATGCGACCTACAATGGTGGGCTAACACCTAGGTACCTATTTACTGCTAGGTGAAAAGGGGCAGCAAGTGTTAACTGGAAGACACCAATACGTCCAGTCTCCGTCTTGGGTTGAGTCAGGTTTCTCTCTGGTTGTGAGACGATCACCGCTCGGTTACAAATGTTATGTGACTTATCTTGTGAATCACTTGTGTTATCAAAACATTACTATCGGGTTCCTCTCATACTGCCTGCCTTGTAAAATATTTAACACCATACGTGTGTATGTGTATATAACACACACACACACACACACACACAACACACACACACACACACACACACACACACACACACACACACACACACACTCACCAACACACAACACATACACATTTTCATACTTTAATTCTTCGAAGTATTTCACGCCCCCACACACATTAAGGGTTAAACTCCGTTGGAGTGTCTCATTATATTTAAGGGAAGCACTAAGCCCGTGGGGACATGCAACGCCCAGAGGGAATAAGGGGTTGTCAGAATTAATCTAATTCCTTGGATCAACATGTCCTCAGAGGCATCAAGGACCCTTCCCTCAGAGGCATCAAGGACCCTTCCCTTAGAGGCATCAAGGACCCTTCCCTTAGAGACATCAAGAACCCTTCCCTCAGAGGCATCAAGGACCTTTCCCTCAGATGCATCAAGGACCTTCCCCTCAGAGGCATCAAGGACCCTTCCCTTAGAGACATCAAGGACCCTTCCCTTAGAGGCATCAAGAACCCTTCCCTCAGATGCATCAAGGACCCATCCCTTAGAAACATCAAGGACCCTTCCCTCAGAGGCATCAAGGACCTTTCCCTCAGAGGCATCAAGGACCCTTCCCTCAGAGGAGTCTCAGGTGTAATTACTCTTTATACATTAATACGTAATTTTCTCCACATAGTTCTTGGGTGCTTATCCTGCTCCTGCCAGCTTCCAGCCTGCTAGCCTGCCAGCCTTCCAGCCTACTAGCCTGCCAACTTGCCAGCCTGTTAGCCTGCTAGCCTGCCTGCCTGCCTGCCTGCCTGCCTGCTAGCCTGCCTGCCTGCTAGCCTGCCTGCCTGCTAGCCTGCCTGCCTGCTAGCCTGCCTGCCTACTAGCCTGCCAGCCTTCCAGCCTGCCAGCCTTCCAGCCTACTAGCCTTCCAGCCTGCCAGCCTGCTAGCCTGCCAACTTGCCAGCCTGTTAGCCTGCTAGCCTGCCAGCCTGCCAATCTGTCAGCCTGTTAGCCTACTAGCCTGCCTGCCTGATAGCCTGCCAATCCTGCCAGCCTGCTAGCCTGCCAACCTGCCAGCCTTCCAGCCTACTAGCCTGCCATCCTGCTAGCCTGCCAATTTGCCAGCCTGTTAGCCTGCTAGCCTGCCAGCCTGCTAGCCTGCCTGCCTGCTAGCCTTTCAGCCTAACTATGGTGCTTCTGCTTTAGTAACATGACTCAAGAAATCGCAATGACACGATTGCAAACAAACCATATACCAACGGGTGGGGTTAAACCCACGATCAAGAGTCTGATTTTGAGCTCTCTGATTGTAGGTTTTAACCCCACCCGTGGTATGGTTTGTTTCTACTTTAGTGTTTAATTCCTCTTCGTCGCCTGCTATGAGTTCAATCTTCATTTGAGCACTGTCTTGCCCGACGTGTGTTAACATCACTCTGCCTGCAGAGGGCAGATCCTCTCCCTATTTGACTTGCTTGCCTGCTGTGGCTGCTGTGGCTGCTGTGGCTGCTGTGGCTGCTGTGGCTGCTGTGGCTGCTGTGGCTGCTGTGGCTGCTGTGGCTGCTGTGGCTGCTGTGGCTCCGTCAGTGGAAAATGGCAGAAGCATATACCTGCCTAGGCAAGATTCTTGGTTTCTCGTACAGGGTGGTGAATGCAGCAGCTATTGCTGTTACGTTGATGATTTTGGGCGAGACTTTGTGCTCAGGGTTGAGAGAACAGCAATCTCAGAATTAGCAAAACAAAGCTATGAAAATTAGTCTCCAGGAAAAATTTGAATGAAGTCAATAAGTAAAAAGGTTAATTATGAGGAACTTTAAATTGCAACTTTATTAATGTAAGTAAATAAATAATCAGGATGGTACTTATTCTTAAGACTGAAGGGCTAAGATGGCTATGTGGTGAGCCACACAAGAGCGGTGGTGGTGAGCACAGAAAGGGGAGGGTCTAGGGGGGGGGGGGGGGGGGGGGGGGGGGGATGAGAAAGGTAGGGGGGGGGGGGGGGGGGGTAAAGAAGCGGTGGTGGGAGCCACACAAAGCGGGTGGTGGTGAGCCACACAAGAGCTATGTGGTTGGTGAACCACCACAAGAGCGTGGTGGTGAGCCACACAGAGCGGTTGTGGTATGCCACACAAGAGCGGTGTGGATGAACCACCCAAGACGGTGGTGGTGAGCCACACAAGAGCGGTGGTGGTGAGCCACACAAGAGCGGTGGTGGTGAGCCACACAAGAGCGGTGGTGGTGAGCCACACAAGAGCGGTGGTGGTGAGCCACACAAGAGCGGTGGTGGTGAGCCACACAGGGGGCAACAGGGGAGCGGTGGTGGTGAGCCACAAGAGCGGTGGTGGTGAGCCACACAAGAGCGGTGGTGGTGAGCCACACAAGAGCGGTGGTGGTGAACCACGTATTAGTTAAGAGAGGTGGAAGTGATCTCCTGGAAAGTGTGTAAGATAAGATAAGATAAGATTTCGTTCGGATTTTTAACCCCGGAGGGTTAGCCACCCAGGATAACCCAAGAAAGTCATGCGTCAACGAGGACTGTCTAACTTATTTCCATGTGGGTCCGTTAATCCTTGTCCCCTGGATGCGACCTCACACCCGGTACCTATTTGCTGCTACGTGAACCAGGACCATATGGGTGTAAGGAAACGTGTCGAAATGTTCCACCCCCGGGAATCGAACCCGGCCCTCCGTGTGTAATCGGAGCTTTAGCCACCAGCCACCAGGCCAACAGTGACTGTTAGCAGGGTCGCTTGTTGATATTGGTGCCCAGGTTGTAGTGAGCTGAAGAGACGGTCACAATTCAATCAGCACGTATGTTCTTCATCGTAACCTTCCCTCTACACACAGTAACATGGTACGCTCCGATGACAGTAGCTGCTGTGTGATGGAGAGTGCTAGAGGAACGGAGGTACCTCTAGCAGGAAGCAGTGAAATTTCCCCAGGTGCGCTGAGGAGGGCCCCATCTCAATGCAGACCACGGTAATTGCAGCAAGGCCATAGCAGAAGATCAGTACTAAAGTCAGTTCCACCTGATGCCGCACGAGAACTGACTTTAAGTACGGACGCGAATACAAGAAAGATAGTTCTAGGCCTCTCACGTTGCACTCAACATATCATTAGGAGCTTGCAATGTTGCAGAAAAGCAAATACGATCACAGGAAGCATCTTTGCTGGAGTGAGGCTGACTCGTGTGCAACAAATCGAAATCTTCACCATTCTTCTTTGTATAGGACTGATGAAGCCACTGTGTGGCGAAACGTTTCCTCAATAAACATACCCAGGTGTTGTACATATGTCTAATTTATCAACCTTTCGGTTCTCTGAACCATTTATTTACCAAGTTATCTAGGTAGCGAGTCAAGCTGTGAACTCCCCCCCCCCTCCCTCAGGGAAGGTTCCTTGATGTTGGTGAGGGGCTCTTGATTTAGGGAATTGGATCTGTGCTCCAGTTCCCCGAATTAAGCCTGAATGCCTTCCACATCCCCCCAGGCACTGTATAATCCTATGGGTTTAGCGCTTCCCCCTTGATTATAATAATATGAACTCCCCCTCAACTCTGGCCAAACTACCGTAACAAACGACACTACCCTAATTTATTAACATAAATTACAACATCCGGAAGTTTTCCCTTGGTGTTTGAGGCTCGTTTCAGTGCTGCTCCATCTTCCTTCATCTTCCTTCATCTTCCTTCATCTTCCTTCATCTTCGTTCATCTTCGTTCTGCTGGCAACATCAGAGATTCTTCGGAAGTCGTAGACTTGGTGCTCTGACCGGCTACTTTCATCGCATTCTTATTAAAGAGGTCATTGTAGGTTCCAGCACCAATTGAGTAGTTTGAAAGGGGATTTGATTCCAAAGAATAAACACCGAAAGGTATCTTTCAGTGTATATGACACTAGCTATATCAAATGGAGACCACTAGCTATATCAAGTGGGGACCACTAGCTATATCAAGTGGGGGCCACTAGCTATATCAAGCGGGGACCACTAGCTATATCAAGTGGGGACCATTAACAATATCAAGTGCGGACCACTGGCTATATCAAGCGGGGACCACTAGCTATATCAAGTGGGGACCATTAACTATTTCAAGTGGGGACCACTAGCTATATCAGGTAGGGACCACTAGCTATATCAAGTGGGGATCACTAGCTATATCAAGTGGGGACCACTAGCTATAATAGATGGGGACTATTAACTATGTCAAGTGGGGATCACTAATTATATCAATTGGGGACCACTGGCTTTTTTTAAGTGGAAACCACTAGCGTTTTTAAGTGGAAACCACTAGCGTTTTTAAGTGGAAACCACTAGCGTTTTTAAGTAGAGACCACTAGCTTTTTAAATGGAGACAACTAGCGTTTTTAATTGAAAACCACCAGCTATGTAAACGGGGACTACTAGCTTTTGTGAGCACAACTAGCCTAGTTTCTTTCTCGCATTCTGAGGACAAGATTTTGGTTCGGTTGAAGGGAAGACGAGGAATGAAAAACATTGAGTTTCTGATAATCTGTTTTTATACAACTTTCTTTCGTTACATGAGGGAGAAGAGCTGATAATAAATAATTATATATCCCCAGCACAGATGTCGATAATAAATAATTATTGAGTTAGCGTAGTCACGGTCGGCCATTTATCTGTGTTCTAGTGAGCGTGTTGAAATGTGTTAACAGTCTGTGTTAGTAGCTAGTGTTTAACAGTTTTCCTGAAGTTAACGAAGTGGTGAGAACAAATGTTGTGTTAACAGGTAATCGTTGAGAGGAAAGCGAGAAGAGAATGTGGAATAAGGCAGAGTAACATGATTGGAACAATACACAAATAACTGAAAAGTCAACACCACCGAATTCATTGTGTTTATTTGGTCTTCCGCTGAGGCTACTTAAGATGGCAGATGAGGGAATAAGTGAATGGGGAACGAGGTTGATTGCTGCGTCGGGTGAGAAGTTTTACCACATGGGGCCGTGCGACGCAATTAACTCAGTTATTTCTAATGTTTAACTTACAGGCCATGAAGTTGAAAATCATCCTTTCCATTAAATAATGGTGAGCTTCCCTGAAAATTATTTACATATAAATTATGGAATGTATTTTTTCAGCTTGGGTTTGGGAAATATACTGGATGCATGTGGCTTTCGCCTGATTTACGTATATAAACTTATGCAGAGGCTCTGTTAATGGTGACAGATCCAGTGGCTTCATACTTGTGTTCTGCAGGAGTGAAGTGAGAGATCACGCTGGAGACTCTCTGAGGAGACTTGACGGAGACGGTGCGGGTGAGAGCTAGCTGAGAAGGAGAGGCTCGAGGGGCGGAGCGGGGGGGAGCAGCGTATTCTTGAACTGGGGTGCGGCGGGGCTGAGGAGGAGAAACCTGAGCTCTTTGTGCCCCAGAAGCTCCAGAGAATCCTCGACCTGCTGAAGATGCCTGGCCTGTTGAGGCCCTGTTGATGACGACGGATCCAGTAGCCTCATACTTGTGGTCAGCGGGCAGGAAGTGAGAGATGACACTGGAAACTCTCTCGGGAGATTTCACGGAGACGATGCGTTTGAGAGCCAGCTGAGGAGTTGAGAGAACCACGGGCGCTGGAGCAGCAGGAGCAGGGATCTGGAAGGTGCGAGTCTGTCTTTCTTCAGCCCTGTTGATGACGACAGATCCAGTGGCCTCATACCTGTGGTCAGCGGGTAAGAAATGAGAGATAACATTGGAGACTCTTTCTGGAGTTTTAACGGAGACGGTGCGAGAAAGTGCTAGCTTTGACCCGCCAGATGATGCAGATCCTGAGGACAGACCGCCAAAAGCAAATCCTCCCTTTGCAGAACCTGCCGCAGAGAAGCTGCTGCTGCTGCTGGCTAGTTGACCCTCTGCTGGCAGACCCAGCAGACACTCCCCTGGAGGATAAGCTAGACAATTGAGATCCTCCACTGGAGGAGAAACTGCTCGATGCTTTCTTGCTTGCTGCAGAAGATAAACTAGATTTTTTACTTGAAGTCTGACTTGAGAATCCTGATGAAGTTCCTGAGCCGCTACTTGCTGCTGCTGATGTTCCGAAGCTGCTGAAGGAAGAACCAGAGGAACCTGAAGACCCACTGAAAGCTGAAGACCCACCGAAAGCTGCAGATCCAGACAGCTTACTAGCTGATGAACTGGAAGCTCCTGCAGATCCTTCAAGTCTGCTGGAGGAAGCACCAGATGATGATGATGATGATGTAGATCTAGCGGAGGCTGCAGAGGCAGAGAGCCTGCTTACTGAGGAACTAGAGGCTCCTGCAGATCCTTCAAACCTGCTAGAGGAAGAGCCAAAGGAACTTGCAGCTCCAGCTGCTGCTGCTGCTCCAGAGAACCTGGCTGATGAGCTAGAAGCTCCTGAAGATCCAGAGGAGAACGTTTGAGATGATCCTGAAGAACTTCCAGCTCCGTAGCGGCCGGCTGCTGCCCCAGAAAATAGTCCAGATAAAGCGGAACCTTGTCTTTCCGACCCAGCGGAGTAGCCACACAGAATTGAGCCAGACGGTATTGGAAGGGTTCGCGAGCCGGGTGACCCATACTCGCGAACGATCCTGAAGCCGCACAAATGACTGGCGGGTCCAAGAGACACTGCAGGCACCGTTGAGGAAGATTGTGATCTGGTGGTCTTGAGAGACTCTGCCAATGATTTAGCGAAGGTGGTCGATGCGCTCTCCTCGTAGCTCATGTTTTCTTCGGATTCGTAATCGTTGTTGACTCCGGATACGGCGAAGTCTGCGAACCTGGTGATGCCCTGGTTGGAGAAGACAGTGGCTGGGGCGAAGATGTCAGCATGAACGGGCTTCATGGCGATGCCGGAGTCTTGGCGCGTCACCTTCACCTGTGAAAATAGGTATTTGAGTTAGACACAACGTAGACTGGCTGATGGTAGATTTCAGGTGGCATAGACGGGAGTGATGGGAGGCTATTGACCACCTCAAACACTGGGGCGATCCAACGCAAGGTGACTCACCAAGACAAGGTGACTCGCCAAGGCAAGGTGACTCACCAAGTCAAGGTGATCCATCAAGGCGGATGTGAAGATAGCCAGACAGTAGTTAAGAGTTCTCAGCAGTCACTATTAATATACACCGTAAGATCTAGCTACCTTTTCCATGTCCTCTCATTTAAAGTCTCTCTCTCTCTCTCTCTCTCTCTCTCTCTCTCTCTCTCTCTCTCTCTCTCGCTAGCTCTTAACATATGATTCCCAATGATCTAACACTCCCGGTTCGATAGAGAGTGGTTGAAGTGGTGGACCACTCTCCCATGTACTCCCACGTACATGTTTCCTCAAGATCGTCTTGACCTCCCATGTGTTTTGTGTCTCCCTCTCTCCAGCATCCCTGGAAAGACATCATGTACCAGCAGTGTGGAGAAGCTGCCACACGAATACTGAATACAAGAATCTTAAGAGTTTTGTACATAGAAGTATTGCTACGTTTTATTTTGGCATTCGACACGTGAAATAGATAAATATAGTTTGCTGTCCAGGAGTGAAGCTTGTTCTGATAGATGTTGCCAGACCTGTTAGACATATTGGTGATGGTAATAATTTGTATCAGTGTTAGGTAAAAGACACAGAAGAAAATTTCATATAAGCTAGAACAATAGACATAGAGACTGAGTATTTTTGAAGCTCTGAGAACATGCAGAAATCAGTGAATAATAAAGTTATAATACAAAGTCAAAGATAAAGGGAAGAATTTTTTTCTTTAAAAATTCTGAGATGTGAGGACAGAGAAAGTGAGAGATTGAGAAGCTGGGAAGCCTCCGGCCTCTCAGTCTTGGTGTACCTGGTAGCCTTTAACAGGGTGAGCAGTGTAGGAGTAGTTGTAAAAGTATCCATCAGCGCTTAGCAAAGAGTACCAGCCGTAGGTAATACCATCGGCCCCTACCCACTCATCACGGCTCTGGTAATTTGTGTTTTCGTGGTCCTCGACTCTCACGCTGAAGCTGTAGGGGTCTGAGCCCTGAGGATATAAGCAGGTTAGTGCGTTGAATATCTGAGTTACAGAGAAGAAAAATAGGCAACTGTTGTTGTTTGCTTGAATCATGTATTTAGTTGTACGTTATATGTTTAGATATAATTTGCTTCTGAAGGTATTTCACTGTGTAAAGTTTGAAGGCAGATTGATTCTCTTCGATGGCGCGTCGTTGCTTGCCACCGTCTCTCTGCCTCAAAGGGATCCTTTAAAAATAAAGTATCTATTCTTTAGGTGGACCTTTATTAGAGTATACTTACGCTGCCGCTGTTAGCTTGCCTCGTCTGGGCATCTTGGGTGATTTTGACACCTGATCTTGCTGCATCTGCTCTGAATGCTTCCAGTTCGGCCAACAGGTCAGCGGAAGACACTGAACTTCCTCCTTCATAAGGAGCAGCCAGACGGTAGGTAAAAGACTGAGATGCACTCGAGGTGGAAGATGAAGATGCTGCCTGAGAGCGTTGAGATGCTGCTGCTGCTGCTGCTGCTGCTGCTGCCTGAGAGCTCTGATACGAAGCTGATGATGCTTCAGTACGTTGAGAGAAAGCTGATGCTGCTTGAGCGCGTCTTGATGCTGCTGCTGCTGCTGCTGCTGCTGCTTCGGTACGTTGAGCTGCTGCTGCTCTTGCCTGAGCACGTTGAGATTCTGCTGCTTCTGCTTGAGCGCGTCTTGATGCTGCTGCTGCTGCTTCAGCACGTTGAGCTGCTGCTGCAGCTTCAGCACGTCTTGATGCTGCTGCTGCTGCTTCAGCACGTTGAGCTGCTGCTGCAGCTTCAGCACGTCTTGATGCTGCTGCTGCTGCTTCAGCACGTTGAGCTGCTGCTGCTGCTTCAGCACGTCGTGATTCTGCTGCTGCTGCTTCAGCACGTCGTGATTCTGCTGCTGCTGCAGCTGATAGAGAACTTTGATATGAGGCTGATGCTGTTTCAGCACGTCGAGATGCCGCCGCTGCTACTGCGGCCTGAGATGCTGCCGACGACGTGCTGAATGCAGATGCAGCCGAAGATGCCTGTCCGCCAGCACTGGCCGACGTTTGTCTAAAGACACTGGACGAAGCTTGTCTGCTGCCGCTAGCAATAGCACCACCTGATCCCCTAGAAATAGTGACAGATCCAGTGGCCTCATACTTGTGTTCTGCAGGAGTGAAGTGAGATACAACACTGGAGACTCTCTCGGGAGACTTAACGGAAACAGTGCGAGTGAGAGCCAGTTTTGACCCAGAGGCGGAAGCTGCTCCAAGAGCTGGACCAGGTGAAGCTTTAGCTGGAGCCACAAATTGTACTGGAGCAGGTGCAGGAGCGGTTCTGACAGGTGCAGGAGCAGCTCTGACAGGTGCAAGAGCAGGTCTAACAGGTGCAGGAGCAGCTGGTTTGGCTACAAACTGTGCCTGAGATTGTCTTAGACCGCTACCTACGGCCCTGCCAGCGCCCTCTGATCCCCTGACGATGGTGACAGATCCAGTGGCCTCATACTTGTGTTCTGCAGGAGTGAAGTGAGATATAACACTGGAGACTCTCTCGGGAGACTTAACGGAAACAGTGCGAGTGAGAGCCAGTTTTGACCCAGAGGCGGAAGCTGCTCCAAGAGCTGGACCAAGTGAAGCTTTAGCTGGAGCCACAAATTGTACTGGAGCAGGAGCTGCTGGAGCAGGTGCAGGAGCGGTTCTGACAGGTGCAGGAGCAGCTCTAACAGGTGCAAGAGCAGGTCTAACAGGTGCAGGAGCAGCTGGTTTGGCTACAAACTGTGCCTGAGATTGTCTTAGACCGCTACCTACGGCCCTGCCAGCGCCCTCTGATCCCCTGACGATGGTGACAGATCCAGTGGCCTCATACTTGTGTTCTGCAGGAGTGAAGTGAGATATAACACTGGAGACTCTCTCGGGAGACTTAACGGAAACAGTGCGAGTGAGAGCCAGTTTTGACCCAGAGGCGGAAGCTGCTCCAAGAGCTGGACCAGGTGAAGCTTTAGCTGGAGCCACAAATCGTACTGGAGTAGGTGCAGGAGCGGCTCTAACAGGTGCAGGAGCAGCTCTAACAGGTGCAGGAGCAGATCTAACAGGTGCAGGAGCAGCTGGTTTGGCTGCGAACTGTGCCTGAGATTGTCTTAGACCGCTACCTACGGCCCTGCCAGCGCCCTCTGATCCCCTGACGATGGTGACAGATCCAGTGGCCTCATACTTGTGTTCTGCAGGAGTGAAGTGAGATATAACACTGGAGACTCTCTCGGGAGACTTAACGGAAACAGTGCGAGTGAGAGCCAGTTTTGACCCAGAGGCGGAAGCTGCTCCAAGAGCTGGACCAGGTGAAGCTTTAGCTGGAGCCACAAATCGTACTGGAGCAGGTGCAGGAGCGGCTCTAACAGGTGCAGGAGCAGCTCTAACAGGTGCAGGAGCAGATCTAACAGGTGCAGGAGCAGCTGGTTTGGCTGCGAACTGTGCCTGAGATTGTCTTAGACCGCTACCTACGGCCCTGCCAGCGCCCTCTGATCCCCTGACGATGGTGACAGATCCAGTGGCCTCATACTTGTGTTCTGCAGGAGTGAAGTGAGATATAACACTGGAGACTCTCTCGGGAGACTTAACGGAAACAGTGCGAGTGAGAGCCAGTTTTGACCCAGAGGATGCAGCAGCTCCAAGAGCTGGACCACTTGGAACTGGAGTAGCAAATCGAACTGGAACAGGTGCAGGAGCAGCTCTGACAGGTGCAGGAGCAGCTCTAACAGGTACTGGAGCAGCTGGTTTGGCTACGAAAAGTGCTTGTGGTTGTCTCAGACCACTACCTACGGCCCTGCCAGCGCCAGCGCCCTCTGATCCCCTGACGATGGTGACAGAACCAGTGGCCTCATACCTGTGCTCTGCAGGAGTGAAGTGAGATATAACACTGGAGATTCTCTCGGGAGACTTGACCGAGACGGTGCGAGTTAGAGCTAAATTGGATCCAGAAGACGCGGCAGCTGACGCACGCTGGACTTGAGGACGTACATCTGGAGCCGGGGAAGCTGCAGCCAAAACATTAGAGGTTCTTGGAGGACCTGAGAAAATCGCTCTTCCAGCGCCTCCAGCGCTTCCAGCACCTCCGGAACCCTTGCTGATAGTGACGGATCCAGTAGCTTCGTACTTGTGATCAGCAGGCAAGAAGTGTGAGATGACATTTGAAACTCTTTCAGGTGACCTGACGGAGACGGTGCGCGTCAGTGCTAGCTGAGAAGCAGAATTCTTTGCAGCAGCAAATGGTCTTGACTCAGCTGCAGTGATGAGTACAGGTGTGGGTGTGGCAGGGAGGACAGGGAGCTTCCGAGGCTCTGATGGGCCCCGGCTGATGTGAACACTTCCAGTGGCTTCGTACCGATGATCAACGGGGGTGAAATGGGATATGACGTTCGATTTCCTCTCAGGCGATTTAACACTAACAGTTCGAGATACTACCTGCAACAGAAAATAAAAATTGCATACAGACTGCCATTGTACGGAAATATATCTTAACTGAGAGGAAAAGACACCTATAAGACCTCAGATTACTTGAGTATGTCCTTCATCTCCCAAGGGTAAACAAATCTATGGAAAATCTGGATATGTCAGTTTCTGTTACAGCGCGAAGATTATTATTATAATCAAAAAGAAGCGCTAAACCACAAGGGCTATACAGCGCTGCTACTGCGCGAAGAGGAAGCAAATCCAGGTAACATTTATTGAATATATAAACAGCAGCACTTGCAACTGACCCCCATAAAAAATTGTTTTAAATGATATGAGCAAATTAAGACTGTGATCATCATCTGACTAGTAACAGAGTCATGAGACTCTCTCTCTCCTATTTCCTGACGAACACAGTATCAATACCTATGGCAGTAGTAGCAGAATTTAAACCTATAAAGATTACTGTTTCTTTCTGGGCAGCAGAACTGAAGACAACATTGAAAACAACGTTTCTCCTAATAAAAAGTCTGTTGGGTAAGCGAAACGTTGTCTTGAAGTTTCCAGTGACTGCTCGTGTGTGTTTCTTATCAACTATACGATTCCAACAGTACTTAAGGGGTACCTTTACTATTTAAATTAAGATAAGGCGATGAAAAAGTATTTGAGAGAACACACCTGATTATTATTATAATCAAAAAGAAGCGCTAAGCCACAAGGGCTATACAGAAGGAACACACCTGAGAGGCGCCCTCATAGGACGGCAACTTGTCCGCCAGCCCACAGGCCAGCAAGCATAACACAAGGATCGCAACCTGCAACATATAAACATGACATCAGCAACATATTGCACACACACGCTCACACACACACACACACACAAACACACGGGGCCAGGAGCTCGGACTCGACCCCTGCAACCTCAACTAGGTGAGTACACACACACACACATATACATTTTACATAGAAATATCTGGGAGGTTCAGGGCTCTCAAAGGGATCCGTATTAAGGAACATAAAGAGTCCAAGATTGGGAGAGCACAGGGAAAAGGTGTACAAAAAAATGAACATGAGTGCAGCCAGAGAGAGTGCAGTTACTGCAGTGAGAGAGTGCAAGCAGTTACTGCAGTGAGAGAGTGCAAGCAGTTACTGCAGTGAGAGAGTGCAAGCAGTTACTGCAGTGAGAGAGTGCAAGCAGTTACTGCAGTGACAGAGTGCAAGGAGTTACTGCAGTGACAGAGTGCAAGCAGTTACTGCAGCGAGAGAGTGCAAGCAGTTACTGCAGTGACAGAGTGCAAGCAGTTACTGCAGCGAGAGAGTGCAAGCAGTTACTGCAGTGACAGAGTGCAAGCAGTTACTGCAGCGAGAGAGTGCAAGCAGTTACTGCAGTGAGAGAGTGCAAGCAGTTACGGCAGTGAGAGAGTGCAAGCAGTTACTGCAGTGACAGAGTGCAAGCAGTTACGGCAGTGAGAGAGTGCAAGCTGTTACTGCAGTTATTAATTATTATAATTATTATTAATTATTTTATTATTAATTCTTCTTCTTCTTGTTATTATTATTATTATTATTATTATTATTATTATTATTATTATTATTATTATTATTATTATTATTATTATTATTATTATTATTATTATTATATGTATGGGTTATTCCTTAGGCCTTCGTCAACTTATTAATCTCACTCCAAAACTTTTTCTTATTTTCAACAAAATTTGTTCATAACGTCTCACCCACTCTCTCATTTGCTCTCTTTTTACATTGCTTCACCACTCTCTTAACCTCTCTTTTTCTCTCCATATACTCTTCCCCCTCCTTGCATCACTTCTACTTTGTAAAAACATCTCATATGCTAACTTTTTCTCCCTTACATCATCATTCTTTACATCATCATTCCACCAATTGCTCTTCTTCCCTCCCGCACCCACTTTCCTGTAACCACAAACTTCTGCTGAACACTCTAACACTACATTCTTAACCTACCCCATACATCTACCCCATTGCCTATGCTCTCACTAGCCCATCTATCCTCCAATAGTTGTTTATATCTTACTCTAACTGCCTCCTCTTTTAGTTTATAAACCTTAACCTCTCTTTTACTTGCTGCTTCTATTTTCCTTGTATCTCATCTACCTTTTACTCTCATTGTAGCTACAACTAAAAAATGATCTGATATATCTGTGGCCCCCTATAAACATAAACATCCTGAAGTCTACCCAACAGTCTTTTATCTACCAATACATAGTCTAACAAACTACTATCATTACGCCCTATATCCTATCTTGTATACTAATTTACCCTTTCTTTTCTTAAAATATGTGTTACCTATAACCAGACCTTTTCCTATACAAAGGCCTTCATTAACATTTACACCTGGCACCCCAAGCTTACCTACCACTCCCTCTATAACCGTTTCTCCCACTTTAGCATTCATATCTGCACCACTACTCTCTCATTTGGTTCAAAACTTCCGAGCACTCTCCTAACATCTCCCAATATCTTTAACTCTCTCTTCTACACTCCTCTCTTCTCCAGGTGCATACATACATATTATGACCCACTTTTGGCATCCAACCCTTATTTTAATCCATATACTTCGTGACTTTATGCATTTATATTCTTCCTTCTCCTTCCTTAACTGATCCTTCAACATTATTGCTACCCCTTCCTTAGCTCTAACTCTCTCAGATACTCCTGAGTTAATCTTATTTATTTCTCCCCACTGAAACTCCCCTACCCCCTTCAGATTTGTTTCGCTTAGAGTCAGAATATCCAACTTCTTTCCAGTCATAAAACTGGTAATCATCTCTTTCTTATAGTCTGCACTACATCCACGCATATCCAAACATCCCAGTTTTATAAAGTTTTTCTTCTTTTTAGTTTTAGTAATTTATACAGGAGGTGTTACTAACCCATTGCTCCCGGCCCTTTAGTTGCCTCTCACGACACGAATGGCTTCTACTTCCCCATGGAAGCGGAATAATATAAAATATATATATATATATATATATATATTATATATATATATATATATTTTATATATATATATATATATATATATATATATATATATATATATATATATATATATATATATATATTATATGTCGTGCCGAATAGGCAGAACTTGCAATCTTGGCTTAAATAGCAAAGCTCATCTTGCCATATAAGACAAGCGAAAATTTGTGTATGCAATAATTTCGCCAAAATCATCCTGAACCTAACGAAAAAAATACATTTCACTGTGTTTGTTTAGTATTAAATTTTTTGTAAACAAATCTAAAATATATTTAGTTGGTTAGGCTAAAATAAAAAGTTCTTGTTATAATAAGGTTAGGTAAGTTTTCTAAGATTCTTTTGGAGCAAAATTAAAAATTTTTACATTAACATTAATGAAAAAAATATATCCTTAAACGTATAAGAGAAAATTTTTAGAAAGGACTTAATTTTAAATGAGTTCTTGCTAATTGACCAGTTCTACATATTCGGCACGACAAAATATATATATATATTATATATATATATATATATAAAATATATATATATATATATATATATATATATATATATATATATATACATAATATAGGGGTGGTAGGAGAAAATTCTCAAACAGCTTCAGGAGAATCTTGAGTTTTCCCAGAAGCAAGTTTATTCTTTTCTCTGAGGATGAGGGTCCCCATAACAGTTCTAGAGGTGGTACCTCCCTATATTTATATATATATATATATATTTTATATATATATATATATATATATATATATATATATATATATAATTATGTATGTATGTATGTATGTATATACACACACACACATATATATATATATATATATATATATATATATATAATATATATATATTTATATTATATATATATATATTTATATATATATATATATATATATATATATATCAACAAGTCGGTCGTCTCCCACCGAGGCAGGGTGACCCAAAAAAGAAAGAAAATCCCCAAAAAGAAAATACTTTCATCATCATTCAACACTTTCACCACACTCACACATTATCACTGCTTTTGCAGAGGTGCTCAGAATACAACAGTTTAGAAGCATATACGTATAAAGATACACAACATATCCCTCCAAACTGCCAATATCCCAAACCACTCCTTTAAAGTGCAGGCATTGTACTTCCCATTTCCAGGACTCAAGTCCGACTATATGAAAATAACCGGTTTCCCTGAATCCCTTCACTAAATATTACCCTGCTCACACTCCAACAGATCGTCAGATCCCAAGTATCATTCGTCTCCATTCACTCCTATCTAACACGCTCATGCACGCTTGCTGGAAGTCTAAGCCCCTCGCCCACAAAACCTCCTTTACCCCCTCCTTCCAACCCTTTCGAGGACGACCCTACCCCTCTTTCCTTCCCTATAGATTTATATGCTTTCCATGTCATTCTACTTTGATCCATTTCTCTCTAAATGACCAAACCACCTCAACAACCCCTCTTCAGCCCTCTGACTAATACTTTTATTAACTCCACACCTTCTCCTAATTTCCACACTCCGAATTTTCTGCATAATATTTACACCACACATTGCCCTTAGACAGGACATCTCCACTGCCTCCAACCGTCTCCTCGCTGCTGCATTTACCACCCAAGCTTCACATCCATATAAGAGTGTTGGTACTACTATACTTTCATACATTCCCTTCTTTGCCTCCATAGTTAACGTTTTTTGACTCCACATATACCTCAACGCACCACTCACCTTTTTTCCCTCATCAATTCTATGATTAACCTCATCCTTCATAAATCCATCCGCCGACACGTCAACTCCCAAGTATCTGAAAACATTCACTTCTTCCATACTCCTCCTCCCCAATTTGATATCCAATTTTCTTTATCTAAATCATTTGATACCCTCATCACCTTACTCTTTTCTATGTTCACTTTCAGCTTTCTACCTTTACACACATTCTCAAACTCATCCACTAACCTTTGCAATTTTTCTTTAGAATCTCCCATAAGCACAGTATCATCAGCAAAAAGTATCTGTGTCAATTCCCATTTTGAATTTGATTCCCCATAATTTAATCCCGCCCCTCTCCCAAACACCCTAGCATTTACTTCCTTTACAACCCCATCTATAAATATATTAAACAACCATGGTGACATTACACATCCCTGTCTAAGACCTACTTTTACCGGAAAGTAGTCTCCCTCTCTTCTACACACCCTAACCTGAGCCTCACTATCCTCATAAAAGCTCTTTACAGCATTTAATAACTTACCACCTATTCCATAAACTTGCAATATCTGCCACATTGCTCATCTATCCACTCTATCATATGCCTTTTCTAAATCCATAAATGCAATAAAAACTTCCCTACCTTTATCTAAATACTGTTCACATATATGCTTCAATGTAAACACTTGATCTACACATCCCCTACCCACTCTGAAACCTCCTTGCTCATCCGCAATCCTACATTCTGTCTTACCTCTAATTCTTTCAATTATAACCCTACCGTACACTTTTCCTGGTATACTCAGTAAACTTATTCCTCTATAATTTTTACAGTCTCTTTTGTCCCCTTTCCCTTTATATAAAGGACTATACATGCTCTCCGCCAATCCCTAGGTACCTTCCCCTCTTTCATACATTTATTAAACAAAAGTACCAACCACTCCAACACTATATCCCCCCCTGCTTTTAACATTTCTGTCATGATCCCATCAGTTCCAGCTGCTGTACCCCCTTTCATTCTACGTAATGCCTCACGTACCTCCCCCACACTTACATTCTGCTCTTCTTCACTCCTAAAAGATGGTATACCTCCCTGGT